ATAATTGTTTTGTTATATGTAATTTTACCATGTTAAAGTTAAAACCTTACTTTTTAAAAAAAAAGAAGAAAAGGGGAAGTGCTGTGGATATCATTCTATATAAATAAAACACTGATGGCCAGTGACCAGGCAAGAAATAGGTTGCCAGGCAGGAAGTAGGTGGGACAAGGAGAGAGGAGAATTCTGGGAAGCAGAAGGCTGAGGGTGAGACACTGCAGCGACCGCCAGGAGAAGGGCATGTAAAGAAGCCAGTAAGCCACCAGCCACGTGGCAAGCTATAGATTTATAAAAATGGGTTAATTTAAGATATAAGAACAGTTAACAAGAAGCCTGCCACGACCATACAGTTTATAAGTGATACAAGCGTCTGAGTGATTATTTTATAAGTGGATTGTGGGACTGCGGGGCTTGGGGAACCTGGAGAGAAGCTCTCCAGCTACAGCCCTGGCTGGCCTGGAACTTATTTTGTAGACCAGGCTGGCCTTGAACTCACAGAGATTTGCCTGCTTCTGCCTCCTGAGTGCTGAGATTAAAGGCATGTGCCACCAATCCTGGCTTTTAAAAAGTCTTTCTTGAAGATACACCCATCAAGGAATAGAGAATGAGGGAGAATGGAAGGCTTCCCACTATTCCTTCAAGGAGAAGGTTGGACAGAAGAGTTGAGCATGAAGAGATGACCAGTACCTTGGTCTGTTACAACAGTCTCAGCTTCTGCAATGGTGTGGGACCTGAAGTCAGTCACCCTGGCCTCTCATCTTGATTGCATGGACTGGTTATATAATCTTGGGCAAGATGTTTACTTTCTTTGATGCACTGCTTATTACATGCGTAAGAGGGACCACACCATCTGTTGTGTCTCCCTTGCGGAATAATTATAAGAAGTAAAGGAAACAACAACAGCGGAAGTGCATTGGCCAAGGGAACTGCTGTGTGCCATTGAGGCTGTTTTGTTTGGTTTGCTGATATCCCCTGATTTCCACCAACTGTATACATAGGCATGAAAATGAGCCACCGCAGCCCAGCAGGGACACTGTGCGCACCCTGAGTAGGCTTCCAAGTATCCCAAGGGGGAGAATGAAGAGTGGGCTGACACAAAGGACACTTAGCTGCTTTAGGAGCCTGGAGGACAAGTGGGAGTGAGGTCACGTGAGCAGAGTACCTTGTGTGAACCTCATCTCCCATTCCACGGTCTCTCAAGAGTCAACTGGCTTGTTATTTAAGTAGCTCCATTCACTGTTTTAAGACAATATTCAGCAGAAATTGATGTATTACTTCACTATCAAAAATGTCTAGGAAGTTTAGGTCTATAAATATTATGGGACAAAATGACTGTGAGATATTGTCATTAAGTTATCCTGTTGATAGTCTTAATTGCTCTTCTCCCCAAACTTCCACAGGATTCATTTGGATAGGAGCTGGGGTGGCCAGCCAAATGGCTCCACTTTTGGAAGCCTCTCTTGAAGGGGGCTTGAAGGGTTTACCCCGAAATTTCTGCACAGAATTGCCTCAACTACATCTTTCTGTTTGAGTCAGAACAAGGGGAGTTTAGGGATAAACACCAAGTCAGACCAGACCTGGCCTCTCCAAACTGTCAGAAACTGAAGGCGTGATATGTGTCCTCCAACAGCCAGGGAAGCTGGGAGCAGCCCCTGCCTTCTCTGCATCTTTCCACCAACTGCAAGGAAACTGAATGTAGTTCTTGGGTCACTGTAATTTACGTGTGCCTCACTCAGTGCTGAAGAACCAAATGGTCTGAAAGGAGGGAAGATCAGATTTAAAATGTTAAGGAGGACATGTACTTCAAGCATGGGAAAATTTTCTTAAGGTTTCCTAATTTTCATATGTGATTTCATTCCTCATGGTACCCATGACGGGAGGTCAGTGTGGGTGTTATCATTCCCATTTTATAGGCACGAAGGCGTATTTGTAGTCACTGACCCAAGGTGATATCAGACTCTGAAGTTCACCAGTCTAAGAATGTGAGCGCCCAGTGATATGGCTTCCTTCCAGACTGCACTGACTTCTTCTGACCTCACACATACGGACCATGACACAGGCCTTTTTGGAGGAACTCAGTTCTAACCATAATCACAGGAATGGCAGATGGTTTGCCATGGTCTTCTTGAATTCCATGGAAGTTACAGCCAGACAATCTATTTCAATTCAAGGGTTTGTAGAGCTACTTTCTGTCAGGGAGACAGATGCTTGGGAGAGAACCTCTCTGCTCTCTTTCTGCATCCCTCAGCAGAATGCTCCTGGCCTGTCAGGCAGGACAGGCCTTTATGTCAGGCTGAGCATTTTTCTTCCATCAACACTCAATCATTTCCACATGCTCTCTGTAGAACACCATTATTTTTCCCCCTAAACACAGGATCTCTTGGAAGAAATTTCTCTTTCTTTTTTTGGGGGATGGGGGATGGGGGTGGAGGTGGGCGGTGTATTTCAGGAAAACGGTTTCTCTGTGCAACAGCCCTGGCCATCCTGGAACTCGCTCTGTAGACCAGGCTGGCCTCAAACTCAGAGATCCACCTGCCTCTGCCTCCCCAGTGCTGGGATTAAAGGCGTGTGGCACTCTTTCTAACTACTGGGGAAATGACAGGGAGGTGTGCTTACTGCCATCAGCCTGGGTTTCTGAACTCACTGTTGAAGTGAAACTGAAGCCCAGGGATGAAAGGGATTTTTATGAATAATGGAAAAATGTTTTTGTTTTATTTTAAGTATGAAAATATCTTTGAAAGAAAAAGCAAATTAGAGTAATGGAGGGGGAAAAGTACTGGAAATGAAGATGAGGAGGGTAGAGAGAAGGGAATCAAAATTACACATGGCAAAACCACCAAGGCTGCTGATGGGACAGCATCACCCCAAATCCTGGCGTCCTACTGAAGTTGGGCACAAGTTCCCCTGTACCTATGTCTGCCTGTGCCAGGCATGATAACCAAGAAGAAGGAGAAGGCACAGAGGCCAAGTCAGCAGCACTTTAAGAATGAACAAAGGAGGTTAATGCATACCTTTTCTTCTAAGTCCTTTATCTGCCGCTTTTGGATGTCTGTCTTATCTTCTAGGTCACGGATTCTCTGAATAAAACAGGGAAAACACTGTTAGGTGCTAAGTTGTTGAGGAAATTGTTCACCAAACAAATCATAATGCTTTCTATGAAAACATTGATACTTGTGCCAGCAGATGGAAATAGCACAAACATACTTTTCCCTATCTACAGAGTTTCTGCGTGTCCCAAAGCTGATCCAGACTCATGGTGGGAAAATATTGTTAAATATATATATATATATTGAGACAGGATTTCTCTGTGAAACAGTCCTGGCTGTCCTGAAACTCACTCTGTAGACCAGACTGGCCTCAAACTAACAGAGATCCACCTGTCGGTGCCTCCCGAGTGCTGGGATAAAACTTGTGCACCACCACTGCCCGTGGTCACTGGTAATATTTTTGAGCAGAGTATTTTATACCTGCTTTAGTTTGGAGCTTAAAAACCTTCCCAAACAACACACACTACTAACATGGTCGTCAGCCTGTATTGCTGATGGTAGGTGGGGTTTTGGGGAAGGCAGTTAGGTCACTGGGGCATTCCCTTGAAGAGGATATTGGGACCTCAATCTCGTTCCCCTCTTTGTTTTCCAACTGCCACAGGGTGAGCAACTTTGTTCACTCATGCTTCTTCCAAGATAAACTGCCACAAAGCAAGGAGCTAGCTGCGATCATGGACAGGAAGTTCTGAAAGCATGAGCGCAAATGAACCCTACCTCTGACTTCATTGGCTTTCTCAGGAATTTTGTCATAGTAACCGGCTACTAACAAACCACCTCGTTCTTACCAACTGCAGAGGCCTAACCCAGGGGAGAGGTGTGTATTCCACCACACTGCCACTGGATTTGGCCACATTGCTTTTTTGTCCTGGGGAATGTGAGCTTATATGAAATGTAGGAATGCCATATCCTTGTAAGAGAGCAGCAAGTCTTAGAACGAGCGAGCGAGCGAGCAAGCAAGCGTCAAGTGAATGCCCTCGTCAACTCTATGGATTGATATTCTGGTTGCTTATTTGTACAGTAAAAAAAAAAAAATGGCTGAAGCTGACTGTGAAATAACAGACAACTGTTGGCCTTTCTTGTCTTCCTGCTTTAACCGTCTTCGGGGATGGAATTTCCTCACAAAACATGACTGACCAATTCTCAAAAGCCAGTAGAGCGTACACTTTAATACAACTTCTCAGAAGTAAGCTGATAAGCTGCGGATATGAAGCAATCGTAACAAAATATCACAGCAGTCAGGAATGCAGAAAAGCCTTTGTAACCACATTCCACACACAGAGATGTCACAGGTTGGATAATGGCATTACACAGACAACTGCTGGGGAGCAAGAGAAGTCTTCACAATTCCCCTTGACATTCCAAAGGCTTTTGGTACCCATGGACATCTTGATGCATAGCAAGCTTGTTGTTTAATGACGACTGTTTTCAGGAATTAAAACAGTGAACTGGCCCTTTAGCTAGAAGCCTATGAGGGTGGTAACATACAGAGAGGTTTTTATAATGCAATGTGAGGAGAAAAAATGGGGAAGCTAACAGAAAAAAAATATTTCAACATGGAAATCAAGTCTCCTCTCTAAAATGTGTCAACTAGAGATGATTTTTACCCTCTCCTGGAGGGAGACATTTAGCAATGTCTGAGGACTTCTCAAGTTGGTTTGTATGCTTATTTTATAATGCATAATTATCTCATATTTTAGTATAGTAGCAACTTTGTGTACCTATCACCGGTACTTAATTGTGTTAATATTTCTTATTGTCACAACTGCACTGTAGGATATTTAACAGCTCTTCTGGCTTAGGGCCAGTAGATGCCATTACATCCCACAATGCAGGAAACATCCTCCCACCTCAAAGAATTAATAGTGATCTAGATGATCCGTCTTAGTACCGCCAAGATTGACCAATGCGGCTGTCAAAGAAAGGAGGTTAGGCTTGCTTGTGCTCTAGTTGCCATTCTGACATGTTTATGAATGATGGAGATGCAGGTGAGCCTGGAATATGGTAGCACCTACCTACGTGTGATGTGTGTGCTGGTGTGTACTTCAGTGGTACTGCATATGCTCTAAGGCTATACAACAAAACAATAAATGTGCTAGGCATTTCCTTCCTGTTTATGCACACAATTCCTTGGCTTGTTTCTGCATACAGACATAAATATTGATTCAGAGAACCATCCATCCGTGCAACTACTGAAGTGCTTATTCAGCCATGAACTCTGTGCTTGCTGACCATTTTCTGACATGTCTATGACTGTATTATCTGTACTGAAGAATACAGCTAAGGCATCAGCTAATTTTTCGTCCCAAAGAGCTATGATGTTCTTTGACAAGATAGAACGTAAAACAGAGAATAACAGAATTAAGTACAAAAGGTGAAAAATGGCAAAGATGTAAAATGCTGTCACCCATCTCCAGTTCCTAGGGCTATGTTAGTCTGTAGACAGACCAATTCACACGGTAGATGAATCCATTATTCTTCATTACATGTTATAAGCCTGTTTCTCTTTCCCAGACACTTACCATCTGACCAAGAGGAAACATTGTGAGATCCCAAATAGATTCTCATATTCTCTCTCTCCATCTCCCCTCTTTCCTCCTTCCCTCTCTCCCTCTCTCATTATCAAGTACATGAACTCATCTTCATCCCTTATTGGATCTGATGAGACAGCTTATTTTTAGTTGCTCCTGCTTCTTATCTGGTCCATCCTCATCATATTAAAATCTGTCCTTCCTACATGAACCAATATAGCTAATCTGAACTTGAAATGTGAAATAATCAGGTTGGGGTATGGTATAGCACCTGCCTAGCATGCATAAGACCCCCAGTACTATCCTCAGCTTCATACGGGTGAAAAGCTTAGAAAGATCACAGTAGTCCTGAGTCTAAGAGGTGGGGAAAGGAAAAGTTAGCTGAGTTGCATTAAAACTAATACCAGATTCTTGCAAGGCCCCACACTGATCTTGACTCTTCATGGTCTCCAGCTTCACCTCTTAGCCTGACTCTGCACACCAGCCATACTGACTTCTTCTGTGGCTCTTGAATGTACAGCGGGACTTAGTGCTCGCTCCTTTTTCTTAGACCTTTGTGTGACTGGTTCCCTGGTTTGCATGGATCTTCAGAGGTGTCCTCTGACTACCTGTCCTAACATACTTAATTCTTTCTGACTCACATGCACACCCATATATGCTGTCCAAGCTTATGCCCCGCACTTAGTGGCTCCCTTAGAGATAGTTCAAGCTGTGGTTCATTTGTGGTGTGGCTTTGTCCTTTCTCATCTATATGGCAGATCAGATGTTTAAAGTAACTGCCATATTCATAGCATCTGGTACACAGCTGGCTCTGAATACATGGCTTTTACTGATTCTAAGACAAGGCTTTAAACATATTTTTTTAAAGAGTGTTTTGTACATTTTGTTAATCCAACAGAGGATTCTGGAAGAGGTAAACCTCTAATAGGGACTTGAAAAAAATGAGAATTTTTGAATACCATTTTTGGTGGAAAACTAGGCAAGCAAAGGCTTTGGAATAGGAAACCATGAATAAGTAGCACTAGGCTTTGCACTGGAAAGAACTCAGGAGATGGACTGGAAAGAACATCTTAAGGGAGAGATGACCAGCTAATGAAAGACCTTAAGAAACCTACACAGGACTTGACTCACTTCAAAAGGGAGACCACAGATGCCCTTGAGCAAGAAATTGCCACAGGGAAGTTGATTAAAAACCAGGGCTGACTTATGGAACAAACTGAGGGGAGAAGTGGGAAGTTCCTACAATGTGATTTCCACGGCCCCTGGGGGACCATGGGCCTTTGTTAATGCCGTTTAACAAAATACACCATACTTATTTTCTTCATGCTAATCACCTTTGTCTTCAAATACACAGGAGGGCAGTGTCCAGGGTGAATATTCTAGATATCCAGCACATGGAATCTACCACTAGGAAATACATTGAAATGTCTGAGTGCATGTGTAGATGATAAATTCAGGTTAGTACAGGGGGCACCCGGAAGCCGCTATAATAATGAAAGATCCTGCAAATGCCTGTAACAGTGTGAGCAAAATAGGAAAGCTTCAAAGCACTTGGGGGCCAATGTCAGTTGGATGTGGTCCTACCTAAGTTCACTGAGGCAGAGGACAGAAAAGGCATAAGTTTTGAAGCCTGAGTAAATTTAGATAAGGTCATTCTACTGACCCAAACAGATAGAGAGGAAAGATAAGGACAAAAATGCATACTGTTTTCATCTTGGGATATCTAAGCATAAATGTCTAGCAAATAGCTAGCAATGGCCTCTAAAATTTACACATCATAATTACATCATAGTTGTCTTTGACCCATCCTGGCCAATGCCTTCTGGAATAACTCTACTATTAAGTACTTTACTGATGAAAAGGGAAGAGAAGAGTAAGAAATAATTATAAAAAAGGTACATTTAATGTGAACATTTGTTAGGGAGAGGGAAATGCCAGGGAACTCTCTCAACTCATTCTAAGTAACATAAAAGGTAGAGTTCTTTCAAGAGAGAGGAACCTTAGCTAACAGATTAAAGAGACTCAAAGTGGGATGCCAGGATATTTATCATAAGCAAATTTAGATAACTATCAGTCCATGTTAAAGCAAACATATATGTACTTACAAGACAAAGCTCTCAATTTGTTAAACCTGATTCGATGCTTTTGCCATGTAAGGAATTTGTGCAGAAGACACCTCTACCCCCCGCCAGTAGAAGAGAAAAGCAAGCAAACAGAAGGCCAGGAAATACTCCATTGTCAAGAGCTTCCAAGACTTTCCACTGGTCAAATCTTTGCAATCCTGAAGGCTTCCTGGCAGAAATACGCATGTGTCTGTCATCTTTGGGACAAACAGCTTAAGCGTGGCTTAGAGGACACGGAGCCACTGCCTCTCTCTGTGCTGCCGGGCTTCCATGCTTTGCTCTTCCTGGTGTCAGAAAATAAGCACAATTCCTCTTCTACTCCTTTAACTTCAACACATGCTTTGTACCTCCTCAGATTCCATCAGATTGCCACAGCTCTGAGTACCAAACGATACATCCTGGCAATATGACTTCTACAATTCTTTTGAATTTGCTCTTTGGACAGGCCTCTACTACTGCTCACTGGTCAAGTTACAACACAAATGAAGAATTAGAAAGAATTGTGGCTGCAAGTTGGTCAGGGGTGCCTCCTGTTTGACTTGCCACTCTAGATGGATCATGTAAGTTCACAAATGCCCTAAGATGGATATGACAACAGTGTAATGGTTAGTACTGGGGTCTCAGGGGACAACATACCTGGTCTGTGATTTTTCTCTGCCAATTGCTATCTTGAATAAATTGTTTGAATACTTTTATTTCCAAAATTGAGATAATGAGAACACTTACCTCTTAGAGCTTCTGTGAAGATGAGGTGAAATGATGCAAGTATAACCTTTACATTCTTAACAATTTCTTTTTATGTGTATGAGTGATTTGCCTGTATGTATGTCTATATGCCGTGTGCATACCTGGTGTCTCAGGATGTCAGAGGGGGGCATCAGATCCCTTGGAACTGGAACTATAGACAGTTATGAGCCGTCATGTGAGTGTTGAAAATAGAACCTGGGTCCTTTGGAAAAGCAGCCACTGAGCACCTCTCCAGCCTCAAATATAACCTTCAGATCCTGACTGAGCAAATGCCAGGCAGCACACAGCAGCCTCCAGGCTTTGCTATTATTGCTGCTCGTTCTAAGAGTGAAGAGACAGGCGCTGCTCCCCCTTCCTCTTTCCAGATGGCTGCCTCAGGCTCAGTCATTGGCAGGACCATGTAACGCTGAGCCAGTACCTTGTTTGCTCACACAGGTGAGTAATCAGGTTCCAATAGATTTGGAGCCTGTGACAAAGTCGTTCCAGAAAATGATAGGCACATGCAGCACCTCTGAACGCCATTTTCCTCCAGACCAAGTTTTATTATCAACCTGTCACCCTATATTGAGTGATAGTGGGAAAGAGTTACTCGCTTCCCTCGCCGACCATCTCTGGAGCTGCTCGGTGCTTACATCAAGTGCTTTTTACTAAGCCCCACGTGCTCAGGCTTGGCCGGCAGAGGGTGTGGGGCTTGGTCCTCACCTGGTGGGCTTGCTGTAAGAGTTCCATCCTCTCCTGGAGGATCTGACAGTCGTACTCCCTGCTCTTCCTCAGCATTTGCCGCCGTAACTTTTCTACAGCCGTCCTCAGCTCCTCCTGCTGTTTGTCACTTAGCAGTTCACCGAACTTGATCACAGTCTCTTGCTGCAGAGCATTGTACAAGGTAGCCTCTAGTTCCTGGATTCTCTGGCAAATAGAATCAGAAAAGTCTAACTTCGGGACCGAGCACTCGGGTGTGGTACTGGGAGTGTGTGTGTGTGTGTGTGTGTGTGTGTGTGTGTGTGTGTGTGTGTGTGACAGGAACTTGGTACCTCAGTCTCAGGGGATCTTAAAGTTTCTGAGTCTCTCCTGCCTGGCTCTCCTCTGGACATTCCCTTTGTGAGATGCCACAAATGCCACCCACACAACGCTTTGTAAGTAAATTCATTTTCATTCTTGGGATCCTGTTCATTTAGGCACTTGTTTTTAGGAGTCCCTGTGTTGTAATGACTACATTATAACTGCACCATCACACCCCCTTCCCTTTTCACGGGGAGCTGAGATTGGGCTTATTCTCCTTCCTACTTGACAACCCTGCAGCTGGTTGAAATCATTTGCCACAGTGGCTGTAGTATTAGCAACAAGTGTAAGTAGGAAAAAGTACTTGAAATTGGAGAGATATTTCAAACATAAAACACCATCTCTTATTCACACGACAGTTCTCTGTACTTGAAGATATCTTATGGTTTCCATTCTTTGCCCTTGAGAAAAAATGGAAATATGATTCAAAAATAGCCTAGAATATTGGAGTTTCCCTGGCGGTGTGGTGTGGTGTGGTGTGTGTGTGTGTGTGTGTGTGTGTGCGTGTGTGTGTGTGTGTGTCCCATGTCAAATGTAGTTGCCTAAATCTACAGTCTTATTCCCCATAATTCTTACAGAAGTCAGTTTCCAAGTCCTGACAGGGGATGCTTTTCTATTACTGCTCCTGGAGCAAGCACATTTCATTGTTTGAAAATTAAATATGGCTTTCTGAATGAGGTCTCAACAGTTTCTTTCAAGAGTCTAGCTTAACTTTGCTTTCTCAAGGCAGGAGAGACAAGGGTAAAAGGATAAGGCATGGAGAAAAACAAATTAGTGTTTTATTTTCTAAGCAGTGACCAATTCTCTTTCTCTTGCTTCCCCATTAAACGATATCAGAATCTTTCACACATTTGGGAGAGAACAGACTAGGCTATCTTTGATACAAACAGGGGTTCAGAGTTTCACTTTCGCCCAGAGTTACAAGAGCATTATAAAAACCTCTATGAGCAAGGTTTGCAATATTCCACTAGTTTGTTCTTTGTCTTCTGGTTCATGACCATGAACCAGCGAGGATGGGGCCCAAGGAGAGAAGAGCTGCAGTCCAATGCCAGCCATTTTGTAGTATGCATTTTGTAGAAGGAAGGAATCAGTCATGAGCCTCTATAAGCACAATCGTCTACGGGGAGAAAAAGGCACAGTCCACTCACAACCATAGCCTCGCTTGTGGTGGCTGCATTATGGGTCTAAATTAGGCTGCAGTTTCTGGAGTAAGAGCTACATTACAGCTTGCCCTTCTACAAACATGAGCAAAGGTTTTGCTCTATAAGCCTTGTTTTCCTCATATGTAAGTTAGGAATAACAAGATTATCTGTGATTTATATGGTCATTTTTAAAAATAAATGAATTAAAATATGCATAACATATTTTAAATCCATTATTATTCTATTACTCTGTTAGAGTCCCAAATGATGTTACTTGATTTAATAAAATCCTCTTGGATCTACCCTGGCATTCAGTATGACCTTTATCTAAATATTACCTACAAATATATATTTGATTTAAGAATGAATTAGAATTGTGCATAAAATATAAAAATATTATATAGCAGCAGCAATATTGGGGTTTCTGTTCCAAAACTGAAGCAGCAATTAATGACTGCATGCATCCTGTGTGTATTCAACTGCACAGAATGACAAATTAGACAGGACATCTTAGCTCAGCTGTACAGAGTGATGAACAGAGTGTTGGCCACTGATGGTACCTACCATATATGCCTGGTCAAGAGCTTGTTTCCTGTAGTCCAGTTCTTCCTCCAGGTAGCCTTTGATTTTGCAGAATTGTTCCTATAAGAAAGAGTAACACTGACAAATTGAGAGCGAGTTCCATTAATTAGAAAGTGATACATGAAAGCTATACAGATGAATGTTTTCTCTAGTATACAAATCACTAGTATTTGTAGAACTGTAGTTCTCTTTGAAGAAAATTAGTTTAGCCTTCACAGTCTTGCACAGGGGATGTGAAAAACAATGGCAAGAAGCATAAAAGGCATAACAAGAAATCACGTGGTACACTCTTAAAGATTTTTAAGCCAGTCTGAGAGTAGGTAATTAAGGACAGATTTTGACATGGTTGCTGTTAAGTAATAAATCTATCTGGGTGAGTACACTTGGCTTTCTGTTTCTTTGGGTTTTGCACATAGAGACTCCAGTATCTTTGGAATGAAAATATTTGAGAGAAACATCTGTTGACTATCACATTTGCTTTCATCATCCCTTAGAAACATGGAATATAATAAGTACTCATAAAGCAGTTACATTATAAATGGTAATAATACATAATCACAATCGAGGGATGATTTAAGGTACATAAGAGGGTGTGTGTAGGTTATATGCAAAGCTGTGGCATAGAAAGAACTTGGGCATCTGTGGACTTCGTTATTTCCAGGGAGTCTTGGAACCAGTTCCCTAAGGGCACAGAAGACAGCTGTGTATTGTGTATTGTTCTAGTATGTTTTTCTAAGAATGTTATGAAATTTAACACAGGGATGTTACATAATAAACAAACTTAATTTATTCAAATTAATAAACACAAAGATGAAGGGCATTTAGGGAGCCAGGGTGATTCCACACACACTGCCATTTATGAGTATTTATTGGCCCCTGTTGCAAAGCTTGTGTGAGCCGGGGGATATAAATCTGAAGTTTATTCACATGTCCTCAGTTCTTGTACATCTCTCACTGCATGCCCATCTTGGCATTATTAGTTAGAGCTTTGTTTTTGGGTGCAACATATTCCCATGTGCAAGTCAATCATTTCTTTGGGTGCTTAAGGGAAGAGTAAAGAACTCTTCCAGCTGATTGGAAGGTTAAAAACCCAGCTGTGCTCACTTCTGAGAGTATGCAGTAAAGCTGCTTGGGCTTTCCTAACCATTGCTAGGTCCCACGGCCCAAAGTACCTTGTAAAGGCTGACTGCTGCATAAGTAGTCATGTATTGAAGGGGCTTCCGATGGCCACTTTGAACACAAACAGTTCTTATGGGCTTTCACTATAGATCTTAATTTCTTGGTAAAGCCTGAACTATGTGCAAGATATTATGATCCCCAAAACTGTTAAGGTCTATAAAATACAAATTATTGTTATCAAAGAGTTTCATGACTTGATAGAAACCTACTATATTTGTTTTAACAATGATCATTTAAATGACATCTTGTTATAAGAGTATATATAATGCTGTAAGTTAACAACCTATTAATTCCTATGTTTGGAGATATGTTGTTTTAAATTGTGTTAAAATACACATGAAATAAAATGAACACTTAAGTCATTAAAGTACATATTTGTAGTGTGAAATACATCATACTCTTATGACATCAATGTCTGTAACTTGTTAATTTTGCAAAAGAAAAACTACTCCCCTTTAACAATTCTATGTGTTTTTTTCTTTCTCTCAGCTCTTGACAGCCGTACTGTGCCTGCTTTTCCCATGAGTTTCATGACATTAGCTCACATGTGTGGAATGACAGTGTTCGTTGTTTTGTGACAGCTCATGTCCTCACTCTTCATCTACGTTGTACCCTTCATTAGGCACTAGGGATGCATGTTTGGAGATGTTGGCTACAGCTAGAGTGAGATGTTTGGGAAGAGGATGAGGAGGGAGCTGCAGGCAAAAGAGATGCTGTGTCCAGCAGTTATCTTAGACTGAACCAACACATGCGCATACTGTACTTTGTTCATCCCTTCAATTAGCAATAGGTACTTTGGCTACATTCAATATTGTGAATAATGTCTTTATGAGAGTAGCTGTACAGTAACCTGCCACAACCCAATTTCCTTTTTTTTTTTTTGGTATTGCAGGGTCATAGGATAGTTTTATTGGATTTTAAAAGCAATCTCCATGCTGTTTTCCATATTTGTACTAGTTCTTACCTCAGTAGTGCCCTGGGTTCTAGCTTCTACACTTCTTTGCCAACAATTGTCACTTTCTCTTTGTTTTTTGATAGTTATCCCAATGGATGTGAAAAAGCTTGTGGATTTTTAAAACCGGACATACCCATCAAGTCTGTAAATTTTTTTAACTTGGTAATTATCCATAGGAGAAAAAATATTCAGCCTGAGAGAAAATACCTAAAATTTAAGTTCTTTCAACGCTAGTTTTATAAATGTTGCCAATGTATGGCATGCTTTGGGGGAAGACTAGAGCTTAAAGTCATTGGCTGCTTCTGAGAAATATGTCCCACAGTCTGTACGCAGATCAATAGGGCAGTTACAAACTTCCACTGGTGCCCGATAAAAAGGGTAGAAGTGATGTTCCCTTTCCATTATGGTATAATATTTTCCTCTTTATGCTTACCATGTCACTTTCCAGTTCCATCATTTTCTGGTGCAGGGCAGCCTCTGCTCCTTCAATCTGTTGGATCCACTAAAGGGTTAAGAAGATAGAAACGTTTGGCATGATTGTTGGACGTGGCATGAATTCTGTGGACTGTTCACTGGAGGGCTTTGTCTTTCCCCTTATGTCTCTGGATTTTGATTGAACCCTTATAAGAACTCTTAACGCATTTTTTCTCCTGGAGTTTAAACAAAATGCTGCCATCTTCCACACATCCAATGACCTCTGACGTCTACTACGTGTCAGCTGCTAAGGCTTTACTGCTGACTAAGAGTAGCAAAGCTGTTGCACCCACGGGAGGATTTCTTTGAGAGCTGAAGTCTAAAGGACAAGTGAGGGAAGGGAATTCCGAGGCACAGCCTGCCCAATAGCTCAAGGTTGGAGGTGTGGAGGGAGCATTACGAGTAAGAGTAAAATCTGGATATATGAAAATGATTTCTGTAATGTGGTAAAGAATCACTTGTAAGTGAAGGCATTTTAAACAATCCACACAAAGAGAAGGTATTCCTTAATACTCAGAATACACCATTTTGATGTGGTATTAATAACCCCACTGTCTTTGGGTCCTCTTATGTGAGCATACCCTATACATAGCTTAAAAGAACCAATGGTCAGAATGGTGTCCATTAAGGTGATGCCAGCTTAGACCTTAGGGAGGCGATTGGGCATAACTATGAGAGTACTGGAGGGAGCTTCCTCGGCTCCTATTCAGTTTTAGCTTCTCTTTGCTATGTGGCTTTGAAAGGCAACCTGATGTCCCCTGAGGCACAAAATTTTCAATGTCAAATGATGTAAATATCAATAAAAAAATAAATTTGTGTGAGGTGACAGTCGCTGTATATTTAATGAACTAAAGTGTCCCACTGTCAGATTTTATTTCTCTTCAGTGTGGACACATGGTATGGCACATCAAGCAATTCTACATTCTAGAGCCTTTGGAGAGACATCATGACCAGCTTGCCTTAGCTCCTGAGACCATGCTGTGGCAGGAAAACTGTGAATCTCTCATGTCTCTATCCATATATATGGCAACTTCTTCAAGGACATTTCAGTCAAAAGCTATGGTTTTGTACATATTATTATTTTGGCTACCTCTTCCTGTTTCCCCCTTTTTATTAAGAAATAGATTCTGTTTCAGATTGTGCATTTACAGGTACTGCAAACCTCAAGTATTCCATTATGAGCTTCAGACCTGCATGATGGCTCTTACTTGTATTTGTGTGGCTAAAGTAAGTTACCATTTGTAAAAGGACCATGTGGTATCTGTAAGCTAGATGTGAGACACAATGATGGTATATACAGTGTGTGATGCAGTTCTAAAACCACTGCACCCAAAACCACTGCAGTTACCTTTTTATATAAAGACACATAGGACGCCACTGTTGGAATTTTGTCTAGGTATACACTTTGGCTGAAGATCATACTCCCAATTAGCAACTGTTGACTAGATTTATAGTCTTAAGATCAAAGAGGACATTTAGAATAACCTGGGAATCAAACCAAAGGAGTCCCTAATGGAGAAGATGACTCTAAGCTGATTTACAAAGGTCTGCACCTTTGCAAAAAAAAAAAAAAAAAATATTGTAAAAAAAAAAAAAAAAAACATATTGTAAGCTCCTAGGTTAAACGTGTGTCTTATTCACCCAGCCCCTCACTTTCTACCACAGTGTTAACAGCTATTGCTTGCTCAGCTAGATGCTGCCATGCAAGAAAGACACCAGGGAAGGCATGTACTAGACCACCACAGATCCAATGACCTAGCTCCTTGATGATCTGCACAGCCTACTTAGGTGTTTCTTGAGCTACACAAACATCTGGTGAAAAGATGAAAGAGATGGACTCTGGGTCCTAACTAACTCAATCACCGTCTGTGCAACCTTGGGCAGAGCACCCACCTTCTCTGTGCTTCTGATTTCTTCTGGAAAATGTGATAATGATACCTAGATTCAGTGGTTAGAAAGGGTCAGTTCAAAAGAAGCATTCCACAAAGTGTCCCCTGTGCTTTAACAGACTGCAGCACACTCACACAGGGACCAGGGTGAGACTCATGGATCTAATGAGGCATACAAGCCTAGTTCTTATTCTTTAGGGAGGCCTAGTCTACACCTTTCACAGAGTCAGTCTATGTTTTCTTCACAGTCCCAAATCAAGGCAATTTTACACTGCATTAAAGGACTGCCACCTCTCATGTCTTCAATTGAGTAAGACATTCTGACCATTGTCATCAAAGACACACCTAGAATGGCTGATACAAAGTGTGCTTGGGGTGTCAATGGATTCATTCATTTACTTCTTTAGTAAGCACTTACTGATCATTTCTTCTCTAGCTGCTCAGGTGAAAACAGGAGAAATAAAGAGAGGAGGGACAAAGATCATATTCACTCCTTGGGCGTTTGGAGTCTAAGAGGAAGTGTGGTGGTTTGAATAACAATGACCCCCTCCTCTCCAGGCTCCTAGGGTTGAGTGCTTGGTCCCCAGTTAGTGAAAATGTTTGGGAAGGATTAGAAGGTGTGGCCTTGTTGGAGAAGGTGTATCCCTGGAGATGGGCTTGGAAGTTTCAAAAGCCCAAGCCAGGTCCAGTCTCACCTTCTGCCTGTTACCTGAAAATCAGGATGTAAGCTTTTAGCTACTGCTCCGGAGCCATGCCTGCCTGTTTGCTGTTACACTGCCCACCATGATGGTCATGAACTAACCCTCTCAAACTGCAAGCAAGCTCCCAATTAAATGCCTTTTTTTTGTAAGTTGTCTTGGTCACAGTGTTTTATCACAGTAATAGAACAGTAAGTAATTAAGATAGGTGGGTGGGGTGGAAAACAGAAGTTTGACAACTTAAATGCAATTGTCAAAACCAGGGAGCAAAATAGTCACTGTAGAAGCATCAAAAGGCTATCTGGGCCTGGTGTACTAGGGAGGCTTCCCTGCATATGAGGAAGCAGAGTGGTTATGACAGCCAGGCAAAGGTAGAAAGGGAAGGCATATGCATCTTGGTAAAGACTTTGGGGGCAAAGGACTAAATGATGAGAGGAGGAAGAGCAGAGTGCAGAGAGGGAAGGGAGAGGGAAGGAGGGAAGGTGAAGAGGGGCAGGGAGGGGGAGAAAGAAGGAGGAAGACAGGGAAAGATGGAGGGAAGGAAGCAGGCAAGAAAGAAAAGGAGGAGAGAGGAGGAAAACAAGGAGGGAGGGGCAATATAGAAAGAGAGGTTGGAGGAGAGGGTTGATGGAGAAATAAGCAGGCAAGGCTTGAATCCCAAGGACCCTTTCGGCAAATTCTGAATTCTGTACCTTCTTTAGGGAAAATGTGATGTTATTAACGTGCTGGGGGGAGGGAAGAACAAGTGACTGGGCTTGTAACTAAATTCTTAGCGAAACAGATGCTAAAAGAGCAAGCAAATGCAAGCACCTCAATATGTATTTCAGACAGATAAGGAAGGCCTTTCTAAACCTCAAAATAAACAAAATATCTTTTTTTCACATTTTGTGGAACTGACATTCGTTTCTTATATCATTTGATACTTGGGCCATATTAAAATTTTCTAAGTGATCAGAAAAATGCGTTTAGTAAAAATGGGTAAAATTGGTTTGTTTAAATTGATATCAGTAAATGGATTATGTCAATATTTTGTATTTTTAATTCTGTACAGCACTTCTTTCTTTCCCTCCCCTTCATCTTTGTTATTATTTGGGGAATTAGAACATTGCTATTTGACCTGTAGAATTTGATCATTTCCAATTCAAAAGAGCTGATTATTGCTCAGGGTTTCATATAACTTTTAACATCATTCCTATGCCATTCAGAATTAAGACAGCATCTTAATGAATATATACAATAAAACTTTCATGTATGCCGGGCGGTGGTGGCGCACTCCTTTAATCCCAGCACTCGGGAGGCAGAGGCAGGTGGATCTCTGTGAGTTCGAGGCCAGCCTGGGCTACTAAGTGAGTTCTAGGAAAGGCACAAAGCTACACAGAGAAACCCTGTCTCGAAAAAAACCAAAAAAAAAAAAGAAAAAAAAACTTTCACGTTACATAAACATGTGCATGAGACTCTCTGCTATGTGCAGATTCTTTTTTTTTTTAATTAACATTTTTGAGACATATTTTCACTATATAAACCAGGGTGGCCTTGAACTCGCCTCTGTTTCCAAAGTGCCCTGATTTAAAAGTGTGTACCACCACACCTGTATGGATTCATAGACTTGGATGCAATCAGGAATCTGGCTTCCCTGTGTTGGTTCTCTTCTGTCATGTCATTTACCAGGTTTAGACACAAGAGGTCAGTATAATATTGTTGGGCTTTGGGGCTGAGGCTGCAGTCTGTCAGGACCAACTCACGGAATCTATGGGGAACAATAGGTGTGCTCACACACCCACACTGAAGGGACAGCCTGAGACTAGAACAAATCTAGTCTCGCCAGTTCTCAACAAAACCCTTCTTACTGGCTTCTGAACTGAAAAGGTTCTCCATTTCGATAAACGATATATTTTGCAAGTGACCTTAATGTAAAAAAACATCCATCCATCCCAAAGTGGTTAGATAGACTTCTGTCTGTTCTCACTCCCCTGGGTCGAATCACATTTATTACACATTCAATAATGCAAAATTGGGTGCACGGGGCTGGTGTTTCACTCTTCTACTTCCAGACACCAAGCTCGACACTGGAGGACCAGAAATGCCAGCTTCATTCATTACCTTCTCTGCCAGGGACAGCACAGTGCTGGCCTGAATTATGGCCACCTGTTCTTCATTCCTTAAGTTCTGTGAAAGACAAAAGAAAGACAATCAGGTGAGAACGCTCATGACATTTGCACCATGGGAAACATGTGTGCCGTGAACACAACATGTGTGCAAGTAGCCGCTGCACATTCTGGCTCCTAATAATTCCCCCCCCCCAAAGAATCCCGTGCGAAGTCTACTGCTTTGTGTGACTGACTGTACGCACACTTCATTAGCAGTCATGCTAAGAATCCCAGAATAAAGGAGGAGCTGTCTCCTCACAGCAGTTCTGACGAGATTTCACTGGTTCTCCTTTTCAAGGGGAACATGGCGCCATTTTCCTTGTACATTGCTCCATAGACTAGGTGTTGCCATTCCCCTTATGCTGCTAGGAGTGGTGCTGCCCCGAATTAATAGTCCTTGGCCCCGCTCAGAGGGAGCTGTTATAAGGAAAGAAAGAACACAGCCTCCTGCTTCATTTTATAGGGCTGCCAACGACTCTAGTGTTGAGCAGTCTTTCCGACCGCCTGGCTGATTAATTTTACGCTGGATGCCTGTGAGCAGCAGTCAGACGGTAATTAGCTTTAATCACTGCAGATGCGATCTGCATTCCAACCTGAACTCTTCCTCTGAAAAGCCCTCTACCACGCCTCCTTTCTGCAGCCACCTTCCCGTCATGCCTGTGGCTGCTTCGGCATGTGCAATTCTCTGTGGGGAGGTACACACTTAGGGAGATATGCTGTCTGACTTGCTGCTGTCTAATATACTTGGCCCACTGCCTGGTATTTCTCAACTCTGTTCAGGCCAGTCCACACCTTTGTCACACGGCATCCGGGCACCACTTACCCCGTTATCACCCAGGATATCAAGCTGCTTTATGAGGTCAGGGATGTTGACATCCTGTAAAAGCAAGGAGACGTGTTCGAGTCAGATACAGACGTGGCAGAGAGAAGGGCGCCGAAAGCAGATACACTGGGCAGCAGCTAGCTCAGAGTGAAAGCAGGAGGAGCCATGCAGAAGGTAACGGACCCATCAGAAACAGCAGGAGGCACCCCAGCTGTACCTCAAGGGGTAAGTCCTCAGGAGGACTGCTGGGCAATCTATTTTGTGGGGAACAGAACCACATCATCTCAACCTTAATATGTAAAATGCGCTCCACTAAGCGCTAAAGGAAGAGTCACATTTGATCTAGTAAGCACGTGTTATAAAGCCTAAGCCCCTCCTAAAGGGCTAAAATCCTCCTTCAATTAAATCCATCAAAAGAAACAAGAACTGGATGACTTCAGAAGTCTCATCTCACTCAAAAATCCCATGACAATGAATTCTGTAGCATCTAGGAAACCACAATAAAGGGACTCAGATGATGCGTTCTATATGGCCATCTTGAAATACGTTTCTTGAAGCACATAGTTTATTTATCTTTCCCTGAGGTAATTAGTACCATTTATTTTAACGCACGTTTGATCCTACAGCATTCTTTATGTTACTCTGATCTAAATGACCCGCCTTTCTTTTTTTGCCTTTACCTTTTATACCTCTGTCCAATAATTATTTATTTTATGTCCTATTGACCTTCCAACAGATGTGTGACTATTTCTGTCCTGCTATCTAGGGACTGGTATACGGAGTGACCATAAGCAGCCATTCCTTTTCCAGTCCCCCGTTTTCCTAACATCTGCA